TGGTTTTTTTCCCCAAAACTTGATAAGAGACAGCTCGCCTTTGCAGTTTTCAGGGCCAGCATAGCTCAGGTAATTGATATATGCTCGATAACCCCGATAATAGCCAAAAAGGTGGATATCAGAACTTCTTTTACCACGGAAAACACCTCAGCCGTAATCAATAGTGTTAACGGAGTAAATTGGGTGACACAATACCCGCTAGAAGAACTATGCATAAAGTGACGCTAGCAAGAATCCTATAATGTGAATAGAAAAGGAAATAGTACTCTTGAACAGAACATAAATAAGCAGATAAGTCGCATAAATGAAGTAATTTGCACGCCGACATGATATAATGAAAAGAAGGAAGGCCTTTGAAAAATTGAGTTATGCTCGTGAATTTTCAGGCAGTTAACACTTGACCGTCGTCAGACTAAATGAAAAGTGAGGCAGGGATTGCCATACTGCAGGGCTTGAGGCAGAGGTGGCATCGAACATTGGTGGGGGTTTGGGGGGGGTTAGGGTGACGCGAATCCTGCTGCGATAGATGCTGCAAGTGAGAAGGGTACGAATGCTTAGATTGCGGGCCACGTGTTTGGGGATGCCGCATCAGTGCAGTTTCACCCGGCCAGGTACTAATACGCGACTGTTGTGGGTGCGAGTCAGTGAGCTATGCACGCAAACCATAGTAGTGTGAATAAAGATCGACGTGCCTGCTAATGCTGGTCGGGCTCGAGTTCCCAGCTTCGAGTAATTATCTTGCTTGTCTCGTGTTAGCCACGGCGATCACCTGAGTATCATCCCAATTGAAACGGGGAGTACGCAAATAAGAATGATAAAGGGTCCCGTCAGCGAACGTCGAAATTATGTCTTTTGATGCGAGTCCTTAGAAGTCGGCCTGCGTGGCCAACGTAAACACATGGACAGCTGGCGCAGGGTATGCGGTAAACAGCCTCTGACGAAGGGCAAGTGTTAAATGTTTCAAAATTCACGAGTACAACTCGATTTTCCGAAGACCTTTCTTTTCAAAAAGATATGTGTCCAAAAAATAAAGAGCAAAGTGACCTTTTTAAGAGTTTATTAGGCGGAACAAAGTTGCTCAAGCCTAAGTATGAAGTTAATAGGAAAACAGCATCAGCAGCAATATATAGGGATCAAACGTACATGAGTTTGCACTTTTGAATATCGAAGGATCGTTTTGAGCAAGCCGCTTCAAGAGCCTAGATGACATAGATTAGAAAGTTGGAAAATACTCGAAGTAGAGGGGCATTCGGTTGTACGGGTATTTTTTCCAGATGCCCCGTAGGGTACCGAACGTTAAGATAACTCATTCGTAATAAGGCGCAGGGTCCTTTTGGCAGGTGGTTTCTAGTAGGAAAATAACTTCATTCGCAAAGAGAATTACGAAAAGGCGTCAATTTAAGACCCGAAAATATGACCAAGCGTCAATTGCATAGATGACTACCAACAATCAGCTAATGCACAAATGCAACTCTATGTTTTTTAGGAATACTATAAGGAAGGATATATCACTCGATGAATAATAAGCAGGGGCCGATTGAAAGAATGTGAAGATTAAAAAAGACATCGAATTTAGCGTAAGTCAGTGCTGCACAGCGTTCATCGTACAAACGTATTGTAAACGCTTCTTGTGGAATTTCCCTCAACGTAATTAAAGGGTACTCAATAAGACGGTCTTTTGAGACCCACTGACTTATCATCTGTCTTAATGAGAAGCAACATGGGTAAATGGCAAACAAAGTGGGTATTGTGCGAACTGTTTTCGAATTAAGTCTGAAAACAAAAAAAGACACTCAGGATTCGAAAAGACTTTGGAGTTAGAAAAATTGTGCACGGCGCATAATATGTATGAAATGTCCAGTGCCCATGCCTTTC